GAGAAGTGCTCACTAACACAGATTTAGACAGATTTGTGAACAATATTTGAGAGAAATAGGCCTTTTGTGTACATAGAAAAAGTCTTAGATCTTTGAGTTCAGCTCATGAAAAATGAGGGCAAAAACAAAAGTGTTGCGTTTATAATGTTGATCAGTGTATTTAAAATAAGTTTTCTATGTGAATATATTGTAAAATGTAATTTATTCTTGTTTTCGCAAAGCATGATTTCTGAAGGATCATGTGACACTGAAGACAGGTGCAATGATGCTGAAAATTCAGCTTTGATCACTTTTTAAAACATACTGAAATAGTAATATTGTGAAATTACCATATTTTAATAACTATTTTATATATTGTAAAATTTAATTTATTCTTGTTTTCACAAAGCATGATTTCTGAAGGATCATGTGACACTGAAGACAGGCGTAATGATGCTGAAAATTCAGCTTTTTTCACTTTTTAAAACATACTGAAATAGAAAATAGTTATAAAAAATGGTAATTTCACAATATTACTGTTTTACTGTATTTTAATCAAATAAATGCAGCAGTGGTGAGCATAAAAGACTTCTTTCAAACACATGACAAATCTTGACCCTTGAACTTTAGGTAGTGTATGTTTGAGGTATTACTTACTAGTCATATGGTTCATAATGTCTAGATATGTTCTTCGACAGGAGATACGCTCCAACTCTAGTGCACAGCTTTTTCAGATCACCTGTGTTTTCTATATCTCTGTCAGCAGCTCCCTTCAGAAATTTAAAAAATTTCTCCTGTCATAGTTTTTCTTTTTTTCTGACGCTTCTGAAATCACAGAACAAATGGTATCAATAGGTTTAGCATGAAAGATCAAAACCTCTTTTAAGTTTCAGCCCATTTTCACGCTCCATGTAAGTGACATATCTGTATCCGATTAACTGTACAATGCATACTTTTAGGTTAATTTAATTAGCTTACTTCCATTCATCCATTGACAAATTGCCAGCAAAACCTTTATATAAAAAACGCTCATCGACACATAAGATGACATTAAAAGCACAAACTTTCAGAAACAAGAGCTCAAGTCTATAGTTAACCTTATAGTTAGCCTTACGGTTGAGATGCTAACGGACTTTTTCCGAAGACACTAAACCATTTCTATAAAGTAAATATTCAACGGAAGCGTGTCATTTACATGAAAGAAAGTGTCAGGAACGCTTGTATGTAGTATTTGTGTAATTTTAGAGACTAAACTTACCTGAAATTAGTGAAAACAACAGTGAGAGACGGGAGTTGCTGCTGACAGTTGAGCTGCCGCCCCGTTTCCATGGTGACTTCCTCCGCTCCGTTCAGCGCGCGCGCCCATTAAAGCACGTAGAAGTCACGCAGAATTTATGTAAATATATAATATAGCTTTAGAAATGGTAAACGTGGTGTAGAAATAAAATTGGAAAAAAAACATTGATTAAAAACGCATGAATATTCGTACACATGTATCATGAGGAACAATTTTTAAGCTTTATGTTTTATGTATTTTTAAAATATATTTTCAAAATATATTTCAATGTATTCAACAGTGCTTCAGATATGTCTGATCTATTTCTTCACTTGCTACATTTATGGCTATATTAGGGCTATATGTGGTCCGAAATAAACGTGCTTCTGCTAAATTTGGACTAAATTAGACGGACCAAACTCTGATGCGCTCAGTCAGAGAGTGTTCGGCGAGTGAAAATATATCTGAGCTAAACTTATACTTAGCCTCCAACTCACACACTGGCGAGTAAATTCTGAGAATTTATTAGCCATTGGCTAATATTAGACATCATTTAGTCGCCAGAGTGAAGATTTAGTCGCATATGCGAGTGATTTACTCGCAATGTAGAGGGTTGACGGACCAAACAAAGCCCAGTTTTCAACATCTATTTTGGACTAAATTTGGACCAAATCAGATGGACCAAACAAAACCCAATTTTAAACGTTGATTTTTGGGCTAAATTTGGACCAAATTTTTGACACAAAAAACAGCACAGATCGCTTGGCGGAGAGTGAAACTCTGATGCGCTCAGTCAGAGAGTGTTCGGCGAGTGAAAATATATCTGAGTTAAACTTATACTTAGCCTCCAACTCACACACTGGCGAGTAAAATCTGAGAATTTATTAGCAATTGGCTAATATTAGACATCATTTAGTCGCCAGAGTGAAGATTTAGTCGCATATGCGAGTGATTTACTCGCAATGTAGAGGGTTGACGGACCAAACAAAGCCCAGTTTTCAACATCTATTTTGGACTAAATTTGGACCAAATCAGATGGACCAAACAAAACCCAATTTTAAACGTCGATTTTTGGGCTAAATTTGGACCAAATCCAAATTTGGACTAAATTAGACGGACCAAACAAAGCCCAGTTAATTGTGGTGAATTTTTTTTGACAAATAGGTGTCATCTGGCTGGAAATTACACAAAAAGGTGACAAAAGAAAGTAATTTTGTTAAGAGTTTATTTTTTTTTTCATTGACAAAACATTCCATGTTCACAGCTATTCACACTCTTTCTCAAAAAACAGTGTAAAGTCTTTATTTTTCATCACAGCAGTTATTTTGCACATTTCCACTGGGATTTTGG